GGAATTCGGCCAATACTTGATTTGAGGGCTCTAAACAAATATCTAAAAATATATAAGTTCAGAATGCTCACTCACACATCTCTGCTGCGGCTCGTGCGACAAGACGACTGGTTTACATCAGTCGACCTGAAAGATGCGTATTTTCACATCCCAGTATATTACCCACACAGGAAATATCTGAGATTCGCATTTCAGGGGATCTGTTATGAATACAGAGTACTCCCCTTCGGTCTGTCTCTCAGTCCAAGGGTGTTTGTACGATGTACGGAGGCCACGATAGCCCCGTTAAGACAACAGGGTATTCGCCTGGCGACCTACCTGGACGACTGGCTGCTTCTCGCACAGTCGGAGCAGGAGGCTGTTACGCAGACAAATGTCCTCGTAAAGCACCTGCTCAACCTGGGTTTCATAATAAACACAGAGAAGAGCATGTTGTGCCCCGCGCAGACTATACTCTTCCTGGGTTTACGCCTGAACTCGGTGCCCTTTTCAGCTCGCTTGTCAGCGGAAAGAGTGAAAGCTTTCAGAGCTTGTCTCGCTCTTTTCCAGCTGCGCAAACATGTTCTCTTCAGATCATGCCTGCGATTGCTGGGGCTCATGGCGTCAGCCATCCTGATCGTACGACTGGGACGGTTACACATGAGGAGTTTCAGCGCTGGGTGGCCGCCCTAAAACTAAACCATGGCGCGCGGAGAGTGATGGTTACTGTGAAATGCGTAATGGCACTGCGCCACTGGCTGCACCCGACTTTTCTAGTACGAGGTTTGCCTATAGGTGCTGTCCTTTCACGGAAAGTGGTCACCACGGACGCATGTCTGACAGGTTGGGGTGGTATTTATGAAGGTTGCCCGGTGAGGGGTCTCTGGAACAGAGACCTCCAGCGGGCGCACATAAATTACCTGGAGCCTTTTAGCGGTGTTTCGCACCCTAAAACGCTTTCTGCCTTTCCTCAGGGGACATCACGTCCTCGTGAGGACAGACAATACGACCACAATATCGTATATTAACCGCCAAGGGGTTTTGCGTTCTCTCCAGTTACACACACTGGCGCGCAAACTGATCCTATGGAGCGGTAGACGTCTCCTCTCTCTGAGAGCGACGCACCTACCGGGAGTGATGAACCTCGGGGCAGATCTACTGTCCAGAGGTATACCACTTTATGCAGACTGGACTCTACATCCAAGGATTGTGAGCCAGCTGTGGGTGCGTTACGGCAGAGCCGCGGTGGATCTGATCGCATCGAAAGACAACGCTCAGTGTCAGCTGTTCTTTTCGATGCGCGATCTAAATGCACCGTTAGGCGTGGATGCACTCGTGCACGATTGGCCCCCGGGCCTTCTGTACGCGTTCCCACCCCTGGCTCTGATACCCCCAACTCTGGCCAGAGTGAGAGAGCAACGCCACACACTTATCCTGATAGCTCCGCACTGGCCAGCTGTGTACTGGCTAGCGGAGATATATCAGCTGCTGTGCTGGCAGCCATGGCAGCTCCCACTACGCAGGGACATACTGTCCCAAGCGGGGGGGGCGATCTTTCACCCACACCCAGAGCGCTTGGCTCTATGGGCCTGGCCCGTGAGTGGTACAATCTGAATACAGTGTGACATGAAGCTGACCCTGGCAGCTGCCAAGCGAGCCAGTGGCACTCATGCGCTATCTGTACAGTCTTCATGCACTCAGTTCGCCCCAGGGCAAACAGAGTGTGGTTGAAGCCCAACCCTGCCTTTATCTTAAGGCGGTTGGTTCAGGTACCACATTTGACATTGAGGCATCCTCCCCGCCACTGTATTCCTCCGGGGAACAGCGGCCGGATTTGCCGTGTCCAGCCCGTGCTTTACGCACGTACAGGGACAGATCAAGGGTGCTTCGTCATAATGACCAACCCCTTGTGTCCTGGGCTAACCCTTATAAGGGCAAGCCTGTTACTAAGCAACGGCTCTCCCACTGGTTTGTTTAAGCAATTGCTTTGGGGCTCATACGAGTCAGAGTTCGCAGGCACCCTCGGGTCCGCGAGCTCTTTCGACTCAGGGTCTGGCTGCATCCTGGACTCTGTCCAGGATGTCTCCCATCCAAGACATTGGTGCAGCGGCGAGCTGGTCCTCGCCGCTCACTTTTGTCCGCCTATTAACAGGCTGGACGTTCTGCTCCCAGTGTGACTCAAGCAGTGCTGGGCACCTGGTTGAGTCAGAGCTCTACCTGTTAAGTTCTGGTTGGTTTGGTGATTTTCGAGATAAGCTCGTCTGACAATACGGGAGCTACAATTTCCCATAGTGAGACATCGAACGGAGTGTTATGAATGAGAACTATAGGTTACTTACGTAACCCCAGTTCTCAGAGTAACATGAAATGAGATGTCTCACCAGACGGCCCTCCTTGCTATGGTGAAGCGAGAAGAGGTGCTTATTTTGAATGACGCATGCGTCGTGGCGCAAGCTACTTATAGGGGGTGAATTCCCTGACGCTGACGTCAAGATCACCAGCCAATCAGGATTGGCGTAATGAGATTGATGCTTCTGTTTGCTCTGCGATAAGGCGCATCCCATAGTGAGACATCTCACTTCATGTTACTCTGAGAACTGGGGTTACGTAAGTAACCTATAGTTCTCGAGTGATAACTTTGCTAGAATAACTTTCTCTCTATCTCTGTTCCAATTAAAACGACTGAGAAATAAAGCATTTTACACCAGAAGCTTATGGGCGTGTAACATTTCTCTCCTTAACATCCTGTGTGCTGTCATTCAAAGCCCCCGGGGCCATGGCTCATGGTGATAGAGCCAGGTAATGGATATGATGGATGTTATACAGCTGGGTTCACTTTTAGGCCAAACACTGAATAGTAATGCAGAAAGACTGACACTGCTCTTTCAAGGAAGATGTCTTATTTAACCTCAGGTGACTTCTGATTTGCTAATGTGTTTGAAACTATCGTGCTTTAAAAATGAAAAAAGGCAAAACTACGGTGGCCCTGAAGTGCAAGACACCACAGCATTTCACAAAACACAACAGCATTTCAGAAAACACAACAGCATTTCACAAAACGCCGCAGCATTTCACAAAACGCCACAGCATTTCACAAAACGCCGCAGCATTTCACAAAACGCCGCAGCATTTCACAAAACGCCACAGCATTTCACAAAACGCCACAGCATTTCAGAAAACGCAACAGCGTTTCACAAAACGCCGCAGCGTTTCACAAAACGCCGCAGCGTTTCACAAAACGCCGCAGCGTTTCAGAAAACGCCACAGCATTTCAGAAAACACCACAGCATTTCACATTGGACGGAAAGGGTATTCCTTAGGGAGAACACTTCTTGTTTGTGAATGGACAGAGCCAGCCATAGAAGCACTGCTGTGATTGGTTGTTTTTGCTGCCAGTCAAGAAATGACGCTTCGTGATTGGCCCAACACATCAGTTGTTAGCTGTTAGCACACGCTCACAGCTCCTCATATCTGTTCAGAAACTGGACAAAAGTTAAACATATACAAAACACAGACTGTCTATGTCATGGCGAATACAATCGCTGCTTTATTTATGTCTGTAGGCCTATGTATGACGTTGTTGTGAGTGTGGACGGAGCAGCTTCAGGTTAGTTTAGCCTGATCGATCCGATTCCGATAGGATTTACATGGAGATACGGCCCGCCCCCTCTCCAGCGTCTTGTTTGAACGACCGGAGTAAATACAGAATTAATGCTTTATTAATTCATGGTTTTTAAGGGGCTTATCTCCACGTAAATACTATGGTAGACCACCCAATATTCGCATCGCTCTAATCGCTCGAGTTTCACCGCGGCTGTCAGCTGTGTTTGCTCCTGTCATTCAAACAAGAGGCGCTGAGAGGGGGCGGGGCGTATCTCCATGTAAATCCTATGGGAGATACCAACTACAACAAAATGAACATATTTGACCGTGATTTAATTGTAATACACGTTTCAAAGTGGTGCCGAAGTAACTACACACTGATAACGGTTAGTAAAAACCATGAAATAATGCTTTGACAAGTCTGCAGACAAGACGGCAGGCGAAAAGCTTTTAAAATGCGTGTTTTTTTAATGGAATCGGATCCATCAGGCTAAACTAACCTGTTGCTGCTCCGTCCACACTCACAACAACGTCATACAGACATAAATAATGCAGCGACTGTATTCACCATGACATAGACAGTCTGTGGTTTGTATGTTTAACTTTTGTCGAGTTTCTGAACAGATATGAGGAGCTGTTAGCTCTGAGTGTGTGCTAACGGCTTATGTGTTGGGACATATTTCGCTGTCGGGTGTTGACCAATCACGAAGCGTCATTTCTTGACTGGCAGCAAAAACAACCAATCACAGCAGTGCTTCTCTGGTGGCTCTGTCCAATCACAAACAAGAAGTGTTCTCCCTAAAGGAATACCCTTTCCGTCCAATGTGAAATGCTGTGGTGTTTTCTGAAATGCTGTTGTGTTTTCTGAAATGCTGTGGTGTTTTCTGAAATACTGCGGCGTTTTGTGAAATGCTGTGGTGTTTTGTGAAATGCTGTAGCGTTTTGTGAAATGCTGTAGCGTTTTGTGAAATGCTGTGGTGTCTTGCACTTCAGGGCCACCGTACAAAACAGCTAAACTGGAGAACATGAATAGTACACGGTGTGGCGTAATTCCGTATTAACGTTAGGTGTAATAAATCGTATCTATATTTTTGTGATGGTATTCTTCCCTGTGAAAGTGCTTAGGTCAATATTGGTTGATGTACTCACTCTTATCTGAGGAAAGTTCCCTTGTTAAGGAAATATGATCGAAAAACACTCACACAGTCCAGATTAGGGAGAGTAGTTGTTTTTTAGTGTTAAACTCTTTATACATTTTCTCACAGGATTTAGGCAACGGACTGCCAACTTTTCAGCGTCCCAATCCCAGACTTTGTGTTACCTTAGATATAAAATAACCTCCCCACCGTCAGATATACAAATTCTAAATGTGTGTGGTTATTGAAAGTGTGAGAATATTTCAGTGTGTTTGTTCTCACCTCCACTTTGTGTGATGTAGCGCACCCATGGTAATGCCTGGTAACCGCTCTTCTCTATAATCTTAAGGTAACGCACCTAGGCAACACACACAGGTTAAATATAGTTATTTCAGTTATTCACTCACAAACAACCACCAACATAGTGTTGTATGTTTTAATGAGTCTGTCCTTGCATATAATAATTATTAATGTGCATTAAAAACAGTTTATTTCTGAATATGGTTATTTTATTCTTAGAGACAAACTGAAGGACTAATATTTCTAAAATAGGTTAAGAAACATTGTGAAGTTAAAAACATAATGAAAGAAATAATTGTGTAATGGATGTTAATAAAGGGACCCACCTGAATCCCAGACACCGTGAAATAAGGAATCTCAAAGTTAACTGTGATTGGTATCTTTGCCTCCAGCTCACCACTGTCCACACTGGGCAGCTCAAAGTGCGCACGCATCATATACTCCTTACCACCCTACATGTGCAAATACAGAGAACAAAAACACAAAGCTGTATCTGGTCACAGAGACAACAATTAGAGTGATACTGTTCAATAAGCCTTGCAGATAAAATGGTTTTGTTTGAGGAGCCATTTCCTCTTCTACAACAAAACACACGTTATATTCATTGCAATGTGAGTCAACTTCCATGTCAATAAAAGGTGAATCAGTAGTCCATTTATGGGAATTAAGATAGATGCCAGACTTTTCCAGGATATAAGCACAAGAAACAGGTTAATCATTCCTTATACCAGCCATTGTCAAATATTATTCAAGCCCTGACAATGTTAAGGGTTTGGTTTGTTGCAAATCAGTCACCATACTGACTTTAAGGCATGGCATTTGGTTTCAAATCAAGGATTTATTACTAAATATGCAAGAATAAAAAGTTTTAGTCACAATTAAATCTAAGTTATATTTTTTTATCAGGTAATGTAGTATGGGTGTTGTCTTATTATCAGCTTTATTGAGAGTAACCTGGCAACAATAACAAACAACCCACAAGTTGCCATCACATGATGATAATGTTGATGTTGTTTGGGACATCATCTTTTTATAGCCGAGTCTTGCCACAATAAAAAGCTCAGATGAAAACAAATAAAGAAACTCTTTCTTGAAAATAAACAAAAGTGTTCTGGCAGAGAACTTTTCTTCTACTTGCCGTTATAAGGTTGCTGTGGAAACCTTATCTCTTTCCTACAGCTCATAAAAGAAATATTAATTGTTTGCATAATAATATAAATAATAAAATGACAAATCATGATTATGAAATAGCTGAAGGCAATTGCAGTTATTTCTAAAAGCTCTATGTGCTCTCACAGGAAGTGAATGTGTGTGGCGGAGCTGAAGGCTGTCAGACTGTGGTTACGTGTTTCTTATCACAACAAGCCACTGCGTCACCTTTGTTTTTTAAAACCTCCATCAAACATTAGTTAAGTATGGTTCCCTGAGAGAATATAGAGTTTTATAGTGTCCAAAGGTTGATAGAGACAGAAAAGAATCATACACCGGCTGGAAAACAATACGTCATCAGCTGACAGGATGAAAACATAATGAATTACTGAGGAGATAACAGAACTTTCCAGATAAAAGAAACCTCGACTGAATTAATGCTGTTCCACTTTCTTTCTTTTTTTTTTAAATGTGTGAACTTGTTTTTCTCTATATTTTAACAGCAAACATGTTTTACAGGATTAAATGGAGAGATAAAATATGAGTGTGATTTGTTTTGTGTATGGGGAGGCTGATTGAAAGATTTGAAAGATATCTGATACTTGCCAGATTAAAAATACAATGGGCAATGGGAGTTATGAAGTATTATCAATCATAGAACGAGTAGTGAGATAGATTAGTAGCTATACCACCGTGTAGAAATACCCTGATACATGTATTTTAGTTAAGTGAAATTACAATCATCATTTTACAACCAAACGTAGCAAAAGTAAAAGCACTCATGTCTATGAGAGGTCAATTTAGGGACTATTTAAATAGCCCCTAAATTGACTTTACTTTACCTTATGACTATTTACAAATCAATGTGAATATCACTTAAGTGATTAAGCTATTGGAGATTATGCCAATACCTTTATGCTGTTTGTTAGCTTTAACTAAGTCTTATTTTAACTTAAAATAGAACATACTAATTCATTTTTGATTAAATGATTGTATTATAAATGTTTTTTCTGCAAAGTCTGTTGTAACTACATTTATCAATGAATGTAGGGTGAAAGTAATATTTGCTTCTCAATTGTAGTGGAGTACAAAAATAAAGCAGCAGAAATTGGAAAGTAAAAGTACCTTAAAATTGTACGGTAGATTTACTTAGCTACTTGCCACCCATGTGTATCAAACTGAGGCTCATCAGACTTTAAAATCAGATATTTGTCATAGTTAGTTTTGTTATATTTGTGTAAGTTGTGATATGTTGTTGGCACACTAACAGGGAAGGACTTGATGTTCCACTGCACCGCGTTCTTCTCGGGCACCCACTTGGCGCTGCCTGTGCTGGTCTTGAACTTGGGTGAGTCAGCATCACTGGGCACTGGCACCATAATGGACACATTGTTGGCAGTGGAGCGGCTCTTGAACTGACTTCGAGCCTGTGGAAGGACACAGAGGACAGAGTTCAAATGTCATCCGAGATCTTTACAATAAAGAAAGGGCGTCCAAATTCAGATCAATACCTAAATGATTATGCAAACTTGTTTTTTGAGTCTGTATTGCCGTCACTGCCTCAAACATGGTCAGAGGTAATCCACTTGAGAAGGGTGTGTCATAAATACTAAACAAGTTGCAGTGAAGTGGATAAGCTTTCGCCACTGTGTGTGTGTTTATGTGACACTCATCCTTACCTTCACCTTGATTTCCACACGGCTGTGAGAGAACTTCTCAATCACACTCTCAATCCATATGAGAGGCTTCACCTGTCAGAGGGAGAGAGTGGACAAGGTCAGAAGGGGAGAGTGCAGAGCTGAAGTGCATCACTACAACACACATCACCAGTGACACAGTGGACAGCAGAGAGAGAGAGATTGTGTTTTTACAAGGGAGACAAGAACTGCTGGCAGCGCCCCCTTAACATCCTCTGTTCATTAAACACCATGTCAGGAGGAGTGGAAACTGTCATTGTTACTAGGCATTGAAATGTGTTGCAGCCACAAAGATTATTTCTTAGATATTACTTTATTAGAGTAAAAGTTTGGATGTCCACTGTAAATGTCCCCTCTGTGGGACTAATAAAGGTATTCTGATTCTCTTTAGAAACTAATTACAGTATATCTGATGTTGTATTGACACCCTGTGGACATAATCTTTAAGATATATGCATTTATCTGGTTAGCTTCATTTCATTTTGTTGACACAGCTTCTCATGCTTCCCTGAGGTTTTATTTTCTATCATGAAGCTCTGACTCACCACAGTAATATGATCCAGGGTAGGCTTTGTTTTTGATAAAACGTTATATACTGTATAAGGAAATGTATTAAATTATAACAACAAACTATATCAGCAGTGACAGTAACATATAGACTATTTCAAATGTTTTACAGCTTACATCACTGAAAGTTAAATCAAAACAAAAAATACAACAACTATATTTGTAACATTCAATAAGATAATGATTTCAATTCAAGAAAATGACAATTATTGAGATATATTTATATATTTGTTTACTTCAATATCTGTGATAAATATTATGATGGAAATATGACAAAAAAAGTCTACAAAAGAATGAACTTACTAGCTTGTGTCTGTACATTTCTGTACATACATATTCTTACTGTGAGACAAATTAGACGTGTGCTCTTACTGTGGCGTGTGTGTGTGTGTCCTACTCACCGTCGTGTTAAGGCGGTAGGACATGAGCTCGCTCTCGCCGTCGGGGGGGATGAAAGAGATGGTGCGGTCGTTCTCGAAGCGTGACAGACGGACACACTGATGAAACTTCACATCCTCCAGCTCCACTGTCTTACTCTTCTCTCCTGACACACACACACACACACACACACACACACACACACACACACACACACACACACACACACACACACACACACACACACACACACACACACACACACACACACACACACACACACACACACACAACAGATTGAGAGCCTTCCACGCAGTCTTAGGGGAAATCAAGGTCAGGGAAATGATGACAGACAAACATTCACACTGTCTTTCTCTCTCTCACAGGGTGTTCACAAAGTGTATACACACACACACACACACACACACACACACACACACACACACACACACACACACACACACAGAGACACACACACACAGTATGCTACCAAGTATGCCCTCTTCTTGTCCCCCACGTCAGCTGCTACACACAAACAACCTCCAACCTGCCATGCCATCATCTTCTTCCCCACCGAACACTATTCTGCCTCACAAACACACCCACACAAACACAACAAAGTAAATAAACATTGTACTATCGGCGAGAAAATGACACTTCTGACAGCAACACACATCTCCCTAAGAGGCGTTTCTTCATTACCCTGCCAAGGAAAAACAACATTTGCTTTGTTGTCAAAAGCTTGTGATATACTGTTTGTGAAATAATTCCGCCTACTAAACTAATGCAGGGTTTATATGTTGGTCTCTTTCAGGAAACACGCCTACAGGGAAGTCTTTATGCCAATGTGACTGTTTTTCCCCACTACATCATTAGTAATCGGACTTTTTAAGTACAAAACCATTTGTCAATTGCAGCGACGTGCAGTCAGGGGAGGCAGAGCCTCACTTGTCATACTCATAGACTGGCCATACTACAATGTAACGGAAAAACAACTAAAGAAAAACTAAATAGTAATAATAATAAAATGTCTCCACTGATCTGTGTTGTAAATGTGATTTATGTATGATTCCAATCGCTTTTTATAGTCAAAATCAGCAAATTTGCCGAGCTCCGCTACAACTACATGGAAGCGATGAGAAGTGAGGCAGGGACGAGCTCTGCCTCTCGTAACTGGCTGGAGCGCGGGCACTAATTTAGCGCGGGCACTTATTTTGTGAGCGCGCTCAAGCCAGTTACTGTGTGGTGAGGTGGGCACAGATGAGCTCTGCCTCACCTCAGAATGCGTCACCTCACAGAAACTGTCTGGAAAGCGCATGCCTGCACCATCTCACTGTATGTCAGCAATGTAATGTTTGTAGATCCCTTTATTACATTTATCCTCGCTATCCATAGTCTCTAAATAACTTATTTCACGTATATATGATATTTAGGCTCGCTGGTCTCATCATACAACGGCAATGAAAAAAGCACCAGGGGAGGCAGCCATAACCTCTGCCGCACTGAAGGGGGCGCACGTGAGCCCACAGGTTCCTGTTGCTACTGTTATTCTACGCAGAGACGGTAGACCCGGTAGACGCGAACAACAAACTAGACTTTTGAAACTAGAGGAAGATAAGGAGGACTTTTACAAAAATGTAATGGAGATTGTTGTCCAGAGGGATAGCATGGACTTCATCTTCAAGTCAAGGTAAGACCACAATTGTAATGAAAATGGGATCTTACTAAGAAAGAACAATCCAATATTTAGATTGTGGGTATCCTTTTGTTGAACGGTCTGTTTAAAATGAATCGAAACATCAGACTAAAAAAGCTTTTGAAAATAACAGAATATCTCGATTAAGGTCAGAATATAATATTTGTAAATCTGACTCTGAAAGAGTCAGTGCCTCACCAGCCATGAACCTCGCCGCACGTCACTGGTCAATTGAGGTGTTTAAAACCAGACAAACACACATAGCCACATGGGGAGTTATTAGTCCTTTGTTTATTGAGTGTATATACACTTTATAGTGTAAAGCAATAATCCCTAACACTTTGTTGCTGGATATCGCTCCTGATATTCTACCGTTTCTCACCCATTTCATCAACACTTCTCTAACTTCTGGTCACTTTCCAAACAGTCTCAAGGAGGCAAGAGTAAACCCTCTCCTAAAGAAACCCACTCTCAACCCGTCAGATGTTATAAACTACAGGCCTGTCTCTCTCCTCCTGTTCCTGTCTAAAACACTTGAACGCGCTGTCTTTAGACAACTCTCCTGTTATCTCCATCAGAACAACCTTCTGGATCCGCACCAGTCTGGATTCAAGGCAGGTCACTCCACAGAAACTGCCCTCCTTGCTGTCACTGAGGAACTGCACACTGCTAAAGCAGCCTCCCTCTCCTCTGTCATCATCCTTTTGGACCTGTCTGCTGCATTCGACACGGTGAATCATCAGATCCTCCTTCGCACTCTCCAAGCACTTGGAGTTTCAGGCTCTGCACTTTCCCTCCTCACCTCATACCTCAAAGACCGCACCTACAGGGTTACTTGGAGAGGGTCCGAGTCCGACCCTTGTCAATTAACTACAGGGGTCCCTTAGGGCTCTGTTCTTGGTCCCCTCCTCTTCTCCTTGTACACAAACTCGCTCGGATCAGTCATTAGCCCGCATGGTTTTTCATACCACTGCTACGCTGACGACACCCAATTAATTCTGTCCTTTCCCCGCTCAGAGACCCAGGTCGTCGCACGCATCTCTGCTTGTCTAGCTGACATCTCTCAGTGGATGTCTGATCATCACCTCAAGCTCAACCTTGACAAGACTGAACTGCTTTTCCTTCCGGGAAAAGATTGTCCCACTCTTGACCTAACAATCAACATTGGCACCTCTGTTGTTTCCCCGACTCAGACTGCAAGGAATCTGGGTGTGACCCTAGATAACAAACTGTCCTTCACTGCAAACATCGCTGCTACAACCCGCTGCTGCAGATACACGCTTTACAACATCAGGAGGATGCGTCCCCAGCTGACCCAGAAAGCGACGCAGGTTCTGGTCCAGGCTCTCGTCATCTCACGCCTAGACTACTGCAACTCCCTCCTGGCTGGTCTACCTGCATGTGCCATCCGACCTCTGCAGCTCATCCAGAATGCAGCTGCTCGCCTGGTCTTCAACCTTCCTAAATTCTCCCACACCACGCCGCTCCTCCGCTGCCTTCACTGGCTTCCGATAACTGCTAGAATCCACTTCAAGACAATGGTACTTGCTTACCATGCTGCGAATGGATCTGGCCCTTCCTACATCCAGGACATGGTTAAACCGTACACCCCAGCGCGTGCACTACGCTCTGCATCAGCCAAACGACTCGCTGCGCCCTCGCTGCGAGGGGGACCCAAGTTCCCATCGGCGAAAACACGTGGGTTTGCTATCCTGGCTCCAAAATGGTGGAATGAGCTCCCCATTGACATCAGGACAGCAGATAGCTTACACACCTTCCGGCGCAGACTGAAAACTCATCTCTTTCGACTCCACTTCGAGCGATAGAACTATTAACAAAGCACTTATATACTAATAAAGGACTGGCTTATCTAAAGCCAGTTGAGTAGCACTTGAAATGTTTTTGCTCTATGAAACCTGATGTAGTTATATGATTCTGTTTTCTTCAAGTTTGTATTTTGTTGGTCTAACGCACTTATTGTAAGTCGCTTTGGATAAAAGCGTCAGCTAAATGCAATGTAATAAAGAATAAACAGTTTAGAGATGCAACCACTACATCACCTTGGATCTGGGAAACCCAATAATAAAAAACATAAATCGTCAGATTAATCCATTATTGGATTATGGAGTTATTAAGTTTGGATTATAATAAAAGACACAAACAGCAAAAATAAAAAAGAGACAGAAAATTGTAAAAAATGCATTATTTTTACAAGAAAGTTCTGCAGTTAATTCCCTATTTTTGATTAATTGAACAGTTGATCAGTTTTTTAGTATCCTTATTATTATTATGCATTGAGTGTGATATATGTCCCTGGTCATCAGTTTGCTCAATGAACATGATGTCCCTAAACACTGCACTACAGTACGGTACAGTAGTGGGTAGGAGTGTGGCGTAGTGGGTTGTTCGTAGGTGTTCGGATCAGGGGGTCACAGGTTCAAACCCCACTGCAGTCAGCATGTTGTTGTGTCCCTGGGCAAGACACTTCACCCCAAATTGCCCATGGGGATTGCCCACAGTAATGTACAGTTAAGAGTATGGTAGTGACCAATCAAGCAGCTCTATAAACTTGATCTAACTTCAACTTTAGAAACTCCACAGGAGCACTAGAGAGCCTACTATACACACAAATCAGCACATTGTGTCGGCTGGTTCATTTTATCTGTAAACAATTTTTCTCGAGGGTGGAGCAAGAGTGCAAACTGTGGCAAAAGGCAGTTTTGAGCATAACCTCCTCAATGGTGGCATCTTTATTCTGCTGGAGAAAGCTGATGTTCTCCTCCTCTGTGGTTATAGAGGAGGAGAACACTGCTGTAATAACTGTGGGCCTTTGGGCCTTAAAGCAAATCCCCCATTCAACAGTCACACCTGCTCTGAATGCAACCCTGGACCAGCACTGTAGGGGACACGGTGTGTGTGTGTGTGTGTGTGTGTGTATTTCTTTATCTCCTTCTTTATTGTTCTCTTTCTTGAGAGAGCTGACGTGCAGTCGTGCATGAATGTTTGTTTGCTAGCTGCACAATCCTCTATTGATTTTGCTTTTAGCTTGCGAGTGTGTGTGTGTGTGTGTGTGTGTGTGTGTGTGTGTGTGTGTGTGTGTGTGTGTGTGTGTGTGTGTGCGTGTTTGAGTGTGTGACATTTCCTCATGTCAGAGAGGCGGCTGGGTGAGGTCAAAACACTCCTGAACAAGCAAAGCAGAGAAGCCCTTTAGAACGGTATCCGTATCTCTCCCTGTCTCTATTCCAGTTTGTTTTATGTCAGTAACGAACACAGAAACACGCAGGCACGACTGCACGCAGAGTTATCAAAAAGACAAGAAACAAAGGTCATACGGTGCACTCTGTCACTGCGAGGACCTCAGGGGCCAGAAGAAGAGACAGGTGTGTGCGTGTGTGTTTGTGTACATCCCAGGTGGGGATTGAAGATGCAGCAGTGTCCCCTGTGGTTCACCTTTAAGGCTGCTCTTCCCTGTTTCTGTGCTTTTAACACACAGCAGCAGACAGGAGGAATCTAATCAGTTTTCTGTCTGCTGTCTCTACTGAACTGTTTTTTTAACCTCTTACAGTGCTGGGATATTGCTGGAGGGGTCAAGAAAATACAGAGAAACTATAACACAAACGTCTTAGCATTTAAAAGTGGAGGAAACAGGATATTAGGGGCGTGTCGATAAATAGGGAAATAAGGACAATAATTGGTTATAGCCTGATTCTCAGCTCATACAGTTATCTTAAAGAAAAAGCAAATAGTCGTCAAAACAAAACACTTATTCCTATGATATCAAACAAACACACCCCTGATAAGTAATTGATCTTAGAGACATGTGAGAAGGTGTGGAAACTCATGTATGTCAAATGATCGAATATTTTATATAAAAAGCCACATTGTCTCTACTGACTGAAGGCTTGTTGTGGGCTGTGTAATTTCATGTACACATGTATGCCAGTTATTTCCTTGTAGTGACAGATCTGTATTTCTGCCAGCAGAGGGCAGTGTTATATGACTTATAGTTTCTTTCATGATTTGGCTGCCTCCTGCTGGGATAAAATGTGCAGATCAGGCTGAGGATGAGAGGGCAGAACCCATTTTAATATCTGTATAAACATTCAGCAGGAGTGTGTGTTGCTGTAAGTGTGTTTGTTTGATCATTATTTGTGATAATTTTTACTGCGAGTATGTATTTTTCCCAGACTCCAAAACACAGCGGGGGGATTGTGTGCTGCATATACAGGATATCCAAAGACCCTCACCTTTCATCTGCAGGGCTGTAGCCTGGGGGGGGGGGATTAACTGAGAGGCAAGGAGGCTAGACAGTGATGGAGCCTTTCCCGTTCAGTAGGGAGCGGTAGGGGGGAGGCAAAAGAGAGGGAGCAAAGAGGGAGATGAGAGGGAGAAGGGGGAGAGAGTGCACAACCAGACAAGGGGAGATGTTGCAGTGGGAGACGTTATTGGAAAAAATTGGGAAAGTAGGAGGAGAGGGGGAGGGAAGATGAGGAAAGATGAAAGCTAAGCTGAGTGTGAGATGTTAAGGAGTGAGGGGTTTAGACAGAGAGAGGAGGTGAAAGTGTGAGGCTGAGGCTGAGTTCAAAGCAAGTGCTCATCCATCAACCAGGAGCATATTTACATTTCTTTTTGGCTTTTATCAGAATTCTAGCAGTAGGAACTGTATATTTAGACTGCATTCTTTTATTTAAATTACAATACAGCTTTCCCCACTGATAGTTTCAAGTTCTCCATCAAAAATGTCAAATCTTAAAAGCTTGAGATGAAAGAGAAACATTGACGTATTCCTCTCGCATGTCACTGTCAGTATGTGAAATAATGTGTTGTGCAACAATACCATCTTATTAGAAGTCTAACTGGAAGGGAAGATGGATAAGGAGATGGACCCCGGTTTGGTGATGTAGACACAAACCACTAGACTACACTCAAACTATAAAAATTGCATTTTCCAGAAGCACGTGATTTGCATTATTGATTCACAATACACATGGCAAGTATTTAATTTCTCTAAATTGTCCACACTATTCTCCTCTTATATGTGCTGAATGTGATTGAAGTGAAATGTACTGTTTATGTGACTCTAATACACGATCATTAGTGTTTCACTCAGATGTGTTGGACACTGAGCATGAGTCACTGTTACTTACTGCCTGTGATTTCAAACAGCACTTTGTCATTGAGGCCCAGTCTGAGTTCAGGCATCCCCGACAGGACCACGTTGAGCTTGATGGTGCCCACTATTTCACTCCGCAGCACATTGCCATTGGCGTTCACCTATAGTCAGAGGAGCAAAGAATCTCGTTTAACAAGAAAAGTATGAAATCACTCTTGAAGAATAGCATTCTGATCACTTTTATTAAGGCTATGATATCAGCTTTTAAATCTCAGCAGAGCTCACCTTAAAGTACACAAGCTTTACTGTAAGACTTTAAGTTGCTATATTTAAATAACGATAAACAGATCAGTAGTGCTGAATAACCACAACTGCTCAAAATTGATAGAAATAAAAAAACAAGCTGGATCTACCATGCACAATCTGTGGGACAAGAGTGAAGAGCTCTGAGTATGTGTGAGAAATGTAAGCAAAACATCAAGACGAAGAACCTCTGAAAACATGTGTGTAAGGTCCCTGGTTGCAGAACAGGAAGCTGCAGCTGCAGATTTGTAGAAGTGCCTTATCAGTTTCCTTTTGACTCATAAAAATGAGCAAATGTGTCCATGAGGTGTTGCTTCAAGGACATTAGATTCAAGAGGAAAGTCATTTCTCTTCCTGTGGGTTTTCAAAGACAACAGCGTGTCCATGTATGCAAAACATTTCCACTTCTTAGCTGCACGATATCTGGGGCCCTTGTCCGTTCTTCTCAATAGGTTTATTAAAGTCTTAGAGCCTTATCGTCACATTATCTCACGGATCAGTGGTTACTTTGTGTGAATCATAGCTGGCAGTAGAAGGTCAGAGATATAAATAAAACAATTATAAATAATTAGAAGAATATAATTACTCAACTCTTATGAGTCAATTTTATTAATTGTTGGAAGGAGTCATAACATGGCAACAGTGACACACTTTGCCTTAAGGAAGCACACAACTCTAAACAGAACTGTTAAATATAACCCATCATTTTTTATTTATCATCATTATGGGAGGATGATGGATAAAGCATATAGAACTGACATTGGAGTTAATACAGTAAGTGCATCAAAAGTATATATTGATATGTTCGGTTTGACTCCAGGTGGCCTTAGTTATTGTGTAAAAACTTGATCTGCAAACCAAAACATGTATTTCATTAATAAACAATAGTTTTGTATTAATTTGTATAAATGATTGTATATTCTTTGTATTAATAGTAATATGATATTGTGAAATATATTGGATAGTATTTTGGATAGTATGACAATAAATTGTACATTATATCAAAATCTGGAATGGCTGCTTTCTTTGTTGAGTCAGATGTGACTTACTGACAGAAAACATTTGACATTCCGACCCTCTCCCTCTACTGCATTCTCTACGGATTACCCAACAAAATCACCAATAAACTCCAATATGTCCAGAACTCCGCCGCCAGCCTGCTCACCTCCACCCGCCGCCGAGACCATATCACTCCATAATAATCACCACATACAAAACCCTCAACAACCTGGCCCCTCCCTATCTCTCTGACCTCCTCCACCGTCACATCCCCACTCGTTGCCTCAAGTCCAGATATGCAAACACCCTTAAGACCACCAGGACTAAGCTCCGGACCTGGGGTGACAGGGTCTTCTCTGCTGCTGCACCCTCCCTCTGGAACGCCCTCCCCAGCCGCATCAGACAGTCAACCGCCGCACTGTCATTCAAAAAAGCACTCAAAACCCACCTCTTCAGACTTGCCTTTCCCTGTTTAACCCCCTCACCCACACCATTACTCTGCCAGTTCACAATGCAGTTCACCATTTTTCTTTGTAATGTTTCCTATTCACTACATCGCTTGTTTTGTTTGTTTTGTTTATTGTTTTGTAAAGTGACTTTGGGTATCTAGAAAAGCGCTATATAAATTCACTGTATTATTATTAATATTATATGCAGGAAATGTGGTTGAGAAAAACAAATTATCCTCACCAGTAGATTGACTGACTCAATGACATCCATGAAGACTTCGTTCTTCCTGTACTTGATGCCCTCTGACCGCCACGACACAGCGTTGGTGACGGTGGCAGGAGGTCGAGGAGCCCCGATCTCCAATTTATGACCCTGCTGGGTGATGTACCTTGAGGAGAGGAAGGCAGAAAGACCTTTAGAATCAGAATCAGAATACCTTTATTAGTCCTACAGAGGGGAAATTTGCAGCGTTACAGCAGGAAATTTACAGACAGCTTAGTGTTGCATATCTTACATGCATTAAAAAAAGTACTAAGTTATAATATAATAAACAAACAACACAACAATATGCTAAAAAAGTACTAAGTTATAATATAATAAACAATATGCTAAAAAAAGATAAAAACTAAAAAAGTTACATAATTTTCAAAAATACAGATCAAAAACAAATCAAATCTACAAATCAAATCCTGTAGCAGTTCTTAGGATTTAGCAGCCCGGTATATATTACAGTTATTAAAGATGGCATATGTATATAAAGTATATATTGCACATAAAGCACATATTGCACATAGTTTGATGTAGGGCTGTGCGATTATGGCAAAAATCATAATCACGATTATTTGGTCAATAATTGATATCACGATTATTTTGACGATTATTCATTGACCATTTATTGAACTTTAAAACAAATAATATTTTACCAATAAACAAGATCAATAAATGTGTTGGAGCGCACTTCCAAAACCATACTAAACATATATTATTAATATGATAAATAAAAATAAATTAGACCAAAATAAATTAAATCAAACATGTTGCAGTGCACTGTCACAACCTACTGAAAACTCCTTAACATATAGCCAACATTTTGGTAAAACATATTCAACATATTCCACTCAGTTAAACGTTGAAGGCTGGCCAACCGTCATGGTCCAGAAGTAACAGGAAATACATATTGAACTACAATTTAAGACCAAATAAAAATGTTTAGGCCACCATGGCAAATGCTGGTAGGGCTGCTCATGTCATCTCTTAAAGATTTTTTGCAAGAAACACCAGCCTGTTTACATGGTCTGGTTTCAGAGATGAGCGCAGGCAGGTGACAATATTGCCACCTGTACTGAAGACCCTCTCTGAAGAGGAACTTGTGGCAGTGCTGCCACATATGACACAGGAAAAAAAGAAAAGACTCTGAAGAACCTTTTCTTTGCCATTATATAAAAATAGTGTTGCTACAAAAGTATAAATTAGGCTTACTAATAAGACAACTAAGATCTGAAGCTACACAGTAATCTGCTGCAGCAACAGTGCAATAAAAAAGACAACATTAATAGAATCAAACCCATTGTTGGTTGCATTTTATTAGAGTATAAAAAGAAATGCCTTTAAAATAGGATGCAAGCAACACTAGTTTCTGAACTGATAGACTATAATCAATTTAAACAGAACAGATCTTAATGTTTGCATTCTACCATTTTGTACAATAATTATCATGAATAAATTCAAACAAACCAAAACTTACAGCAGATTAATAACGGTATCTAAATTGAGTTTTTATTATATCAAAAACCTGTTGAAATGCTGCTGTTATTTTTACTGTCCCACAAAAGCGCGTCGCAGCCTCCAGGAAAGCTTCTTTCATAACTTCGCCGTCTTCGAAAGACTTCATGTGTTTCGCAAGAACGTGACAGACACGATAAGATGCTATCGTAGCAGCCTTGCTCTTGTTGTTGGGCCTGGTGAAAATGGACTGCTGTGCTGCATTTAGCTGTCCTTTCAGGCCCCTCCCCTTTTGGAGCGTAGGGCAGAATTAGGAGGGAATTCCGTCTCGTATCGTTTGTGCAGTTTTGAAAGCTCCTAAATTACCCTTCTTCGATAAAGCCACGCTCGCATTGCAGATGAGACAGATGGACTTTGAATTGGAATAGATACAAAAATAATGATCCTCCCACTTGGAGTGAAAATTATATATTTTGGGCTTTTTTGCTTCTGCCATAATTGCGGTCTTGTGTGTGTGCGGACTGTCACTCCTGTTGACCATCCATGCTGTTGACACGGACAACGTCAGCGAACTAGTGCACTGCTCACCAGCCACGCCCGGACACATGGGTTGAGGCCGGCCAATCACAAAGCTTTGATGCGTTCAAGTGCATTATTCTGGCACGGGAACATTATGTTACAGGACATTAACGATAAAACAGAATATTGTTGTTCTATTTTTAGACACATCTCGCGATCGACTGGGAATCTCCCCGCGACCCTTCTTTTTAACTAGTTGCTGCTCTTGTTCTGACATCTTCGCTTGCGCTGAACACTCACAACACATGTCACTCCCACGTGGCCGAGTGGGCTTTTAGGGAGGGGCGAAAGCGCACCCAGCAAAATAATCGTATTTTGTCAATTATGCTGTTTTCCTAATCGTCGCAAGCCATAATCGTAATCGCGATTAAAATACGATTAATTGCACAGCCCTAGTTTGATGGTATTTAACAGCAGCAAGTTACACAATTTACAAAATACAAGATACATACCTTGTAACAGTAACAAGGGTTTAGCAGGCTTTATGATCATTTGTCAAACGGTTTAGTAATTAAGTGTGAAACACCTGAAATCCCATGAGGGCAAAGTCCTCATTAAGATGCCTCAGACACAGACAACATTTTAAGATAAGAAAATATCAAGAAATGGCTACAGCGTTTAATAATAATTTGATTTCCTGATCTCCTTAGGAGTAATATAATAAATCCTATCAACAAAATAAGATTCTTAATAAAAAAAATAAACAGAATAATGTTTCATAGTATTAACACAATCCATCTTCAGAATGTCATTTTCTATTTGTATTAATTACACCTCATGATTAAAATAAATTAGCTATTCTAGTCTAAATAAATGACAGAAGGTCTTTATTCATGTTTATTCATGTGTGTAATTGGAAAAGGGAGATTTACATAAACCTATTGTGACTGCAGCCAAAGATAATATGACTTGCATGCATTTTTTTACAGGATACTAAAATGTGTTGTTCATGTCTTGAACCACCAGGAAATAAAAGAACCACTACTTAAATAGGATTTAATGATCCAATGATTGGACCTGGATTCATTGACAAAAGAGATTAATGCAGTTTAAAATAATAATAATAATAAATAATTATTGTAAGTGCCCTAGCCCAACTCTAAAAACATAAATCAGTTTCCTCTAATTATATAAGAGAGTTATCAGTAAGAATATATTGTTCCTTCATCACTGCACAGTACAGCAGGCTGTCTCTTTATGTACAAGGTGGCTAGTTTGTTTTAACAATCTTCGTTCTGTGTCCAGGGAGACATAATGAAATGTCATGAGAATAGGATGCAGCTTAGAAAAACAACATGTGATCTGGCCTGTATTCAGCACCTGCCCCCCCTGCTACTGTTCACTCCTACTGCACAGCATACTTCTAATTTATGCCATCCGATTTCCACTGGAATATAATGTCCAACACATTTGATTGAAGTGATTATTTGGTTCATGTATTTATGGTGTACACATTTTTTTACATATGAAACCAATGATCTAATATCCGTTTGGCTAGGAAACCTACAGTATGGTGGCAACACTGTTGTACAATTTTCATAACTTAAACATTTATTTTTTGTGTGGCTCTATCTGCTCCCCCAAAACATCTGACACCAACAATGTGTTTGAAATGGTACCCTCGCTGAAATAGTGTTAAAGCAGACAGGGCACTAATCTTGGAATGACATTGTGCTTGTGATTCATGTCACCAATGACACATGTGATGTCTCATGTGCATGGGTATGTATGCAGACTTTTCTTTTTAAATAGAGCAACTGGAATGGTATCTGTGTTCCACATCCAGTTTCTAATTTAGGAGAGGCTGCACATAGTTAACACGCCGAACAACCAATGTTTTTATCCTGCTGCGGACTACTTTCCATACTGCACTGTGCATCTGGTAACACACATTGCAATTGTATAATATATCTGGTTCTTGGTACAACTGTTCAGAATATAAAAACTGATGTTTCGCTCAAATAACTAAACTGTTTCTCAGGATCCATTATCATTCATTTGGAGTTGTGTTTCTGCTGAAAAGATACATGTAAAATCAATATTCACACTGTTTTAGCTACATTTTTGGTCCCTATCAACTACTGAAGTAAAATCTCTCTTTAACTGCGCAATGCTTCAGTTTGTTCACCAGCTTGTTGCATATTTGTGTCTGCTGAGCAGGTAGTGTACAGCCATTCTTTAGAATTCCTGGTTTTCATTAATACGATGCTATGAGAGTTAAACAATGAGATTAAACTTGATGTTATCATCTCCTAATGTTTCCAATGTCAACACCCAAAAAGTGCTTGATAAACAAGTTTTTAGATTGATTGACAGATTGAGGCAGTATGTTCTCCCTAGTTTTCTGTCCCAGTTCCTCTCACATACAGTGTGTGTACCATTTTGGTACTGTACACAGCAAAGAGCCAAGAGATAAAAAGGCGCTGACAAGTGGGCTTGAGGTCGACTTATGGTTGTTTTTGTTGCTTCACTGTTTGTTCTGTTTTGCCCTGATTCTCCCCCGAAATGCTAATGAAAGAATCTGGAAGCGGAGGTTGGCAGCAAACTGATACATTAGCATAACAATAGGAATCACAACAAACACACACACACATGAAGATTCATACACACATGAACACATGCATCCCTGCACTCTCACTTACTCAGTCTCACACACACACACACACACACACACACACACACACACACACACCACACACACACACAACACACACACACACACACACACACACACACACACACACACACACACACACACACACACACACACACACACACACACACACACACACACACACACACACACACACACACACACACACACACACAATGACGGAATGGCTGTGTGTGTGTGTCACGGAGGTGATCTCTGGGCCCATAGATCTCGGCCTCCGTTACGGGTTGTTTAGCTTCATTGTTGTTGAAAAGTGTTTCCCTTTCCCCATGTCTGTTACTCCTGATTATGTTCACCTGGTGCCCTGTGTTGTTGTCTCCTCCCCCCCACCCCCCCCTGTGTCTAATGGCTGATTAGTGTGTGGGTATTTAGGCTCTGTTTCCCTGTCTGTGTTGGCTGGTAGTGTGTGAGATCCTGGTGGCTGCAGGCTGTGCTCAGGGAGAAACATCAGGATTGAGGCTGTGTCATCATGTGTTCATGATTTAATAAATGCCCACATCGGGTTGTATTTTGGACGTTCTGCATCCTTGCTTGGTCGGGCCGCTCCACGGTCAGCTTCACAGTGTGTGTGTGTGTGTGTGTGTGTGTGTGTGTGTGTGTGTGTGTGTGTGTGTGTGTGTGTGTGTGTGTGAAATGAAATGACAGTTGTGTGTTTCCTTGGAGAAGAGCAGGGCCTTTCTGTCTGAGAGTCTTGAGTGTGTCCAGCTGACAGTGTCATTGTGTCTGAGTGCCAATAGGAGCCTGGTAATTATCAGCCCTATTCAGACACTAAACACATATACACTGTACACACACACCTCAGCCAAACCTTGGTGCACAAACGGTAAACTAACTAGCCCAATCACATTTAAGACATTTAAAAGGGTAAAAAAATGTACAGGGAAATTGTGTGATTTCAAATATAATGTAACCATTGATTAGCAGCAAAGCGTATCATGTGTACACAAAACGAATGATACTGTGGTGTCGTTAAGTAAATGTTCAGCATTCCAACACAACATCAGTGCACACTGCACTAGGAACACATAACTTTTGTGTGTTTTAGTTACTTCGAGAATGAGAAAGAACAAATAAAGCCAATGGCACAACATAATCATTATGTATTATTACTTACCTGTGTGTTGGTCACTTACAGTATCAAGTACAAAGCTGGTATCTTACTTAAAAATGCTCACGTTTTGTTCTTGATGGCTGGTACAGGTAGGTACCACTTGAGCTAATGGTCACATTAAAATCAGACTGAGTGCCTTAGTGCATTACAGCCTTTGAGAGTTTTAAACTTTGACCTTACACCCTCATGTGCAGATTTAATGCTACACTTCAAATGCCCAAACAGAGACCCCAAACACATTGATAGTCAATTTGAATGTAAATAATTAGGAACTTTTTCATGGTTAAGGAAAAACATTGGTACAGTAACTGATCCACTTTGTTTTTCACACATGTAATGTCTCCTTACTCTTGTAGGATCTTGCTGTCCGTTGTCTGAGGGAAACCAAAGTCCATCACTTCGTCCATCAGCTCGTACACCGTCACAAAGTTGTCACGAATACTCTCCTCCTCAAGCTCCTTAAAGTACTCCTTAAATACCTACAAAGACATAAAGACAGACGTAGTTTGACACACACTGCATGTTATATTTTCTAGCCGATTATGTAATTACATTACATTTAGCTGATGCTTTTATCCAAAGCGACTGTACATGTAGCTATAAAATAGGCAAGTAGGTTTGCTGTACGAACGTGCTTTTTCATTGGTTGTTAAAGTGTAGATTTATGCAAGCTGTTGGCTTTATTCAAGAAGCAAAAACCTGTCATAAGATGTTTTATACAAAGTAGCAGCATCGAAAAGATAAACTGTATAGTCAATGGGAAAACAGCCAATGAAATAGAAAGGGTAGTTGCACCTCATGTTGTCAGGGGATAATGACAAACACCTTTCATGCTAGCCACAAATAAATAGGGTCAAAATCGACGGTCCCAGCATATCTTTTTTTTTTTTTTTATAAAATGTGACTTAAACTTGTAGATTTTCTGTAATGTTCTACTTGTATGAGCTTATTCTTGTTCCACTATACCTACTTTAAGTACAAGTAGCAAGTAGAAGACTTGGACTTATGCAAACAGACTCACCTGGATGATTTTATAAAGAAAGGAGTACACCAGAGCAGCGTTGGCATTCTTCTTCGTCATCGCCACCACTGGACAGACTGTTAAGAAACAACTATACATCTACAAGTGACAGTATTTGAGCTGAAAAACGAAATTGTACAAACTAGAAACTGTCGAGACGGAGACATGCAATGAACGTCTATTAGTGTGCTGAGGGTGGTTGTGAGATGAATGCAATGAAATAAATCCTAAAAGAATGCATCACAGTAGCAAGCAATTGAGAACATGGCCACATGTCTAATGTAGTGCACTGGGAATACCACTTACTCACAACTGCAATATCATGCTGAATTAATAATGTGTAAGGAAATGTGACTGCCCAATCTTGCATTATGAGAGGATATATAGTGAATTACACATCACAGTGAATCAGTGTTAAAAAAAAAAATTAACTGGCTGTGCGACATGATGAGATGAAAGAGAAGCTGAGAAGCCGCCTGCTGCTGAGATGTGAAGCTGGAGACAGCTGAGGGTAGAGGCCATTCAGCTCTGTGTGTTAAAGGCTGTACTGTACATCGCCACTACATTTTATATTCAGACATGAACTCAGAAGGATACAGTAAAGGTTGCTGTGTTTGATCCACAGGAAGTGTGAGGAGCCATGGGTGACCATAGGTGTCATCTCCGCCTCCTCTTCTCTCTTCATCAGGATGGGCATAAAATGGTCGATCTCATTCATGTCCATGTTCCCCATGTAGTTACGGCAGATTAGCACCTGAAACCATAATGTTAAACACAATAAATGAAGTCAGAAGATATCATAGTTGAGCCTCGACACTGTCATTAAATGTGCATAGGGCATGTATATGAAACCTGAACACTCAAGCTTAAACATGCTTTAATAGCTACTGAATAACCTAAAAGGATGGAGTTTGCACCATTTTCCAAACTATCTCGAAATGTAATGTTCAAACTGTGAGTCCAACTTTTGATCATGAATGATGAACGACCACCTTCTTAACTTGAAATAGAAGCCAAAGCCTACTTTATGAAAACTCAAGAAACTTTCAGGTTTTAAAAGAGCAGTCAATAACAAATGTGTCACTACCTTACATTAGAAATGTGTCCACAATGTGCCCACCATGAATTAGTTTTTATTATTATTTATATTATTACTCAATCAACATAAAAATAGAAATGGCAGAAAATGTTAGTTTTTAGCCCTTCAAATATAGCAATGTTCTGCTTTTTAATTTAGCAGGCAAAAAACTGTAAATGAGGCTAGCTAGCAAGTCACTATTGTGGGAAAAGTACTCCGGTGTGAACGCGCCTATCGACCTGTGGACACCTATATTATTGCAGCTTTTCCCCATACTAAAAACAGAGACTCCTACAGTAAGACTGAATGCAAACTGTTGTATGACTTGATATTTCTGCCTTTGAATGGTCAAATGTCAATGCAAATTGCTGTATGAAAAACATCTTTCTTTGAATCTAAGAGCCTGATATTGTACACTAAAATAAACCCATTAGCCAAAGAACAACACATGTCCAAACATACAAGGATGACTCAGAACTGCCAAAATCTAAAGTGGTGTTCTTATCTTTATCTTAAATATCACAGAATTGCAAAAATATTAATGTATTTTCAAATGATTTTTTAAACTATTCACTTTATTTTCTGAAATACAAATATATATTATAATATTGTATCTCCCTATCATAGTAACACACATGCACACAACACGCTGAGTCAGCAGTGCTAGAGTGCAGACACAGTGAAATGAAGAAAGAATACAAAGCTTCTACGTTTGACTGATCTAGATCAGTGGTTCCCAAACGGTGTGCCGCGGCACACTGGTGTGCCTTGAGGCAAGTCCGGGTGTGCCGTGGGATTTTGTGACAACCATACATTGTTATTATTGCAATATACAACTACACAAAAATAATTATTTTTTAATTTACTATATCAGTACTTTGTAGGTTTATATGTACGTAATCTGCGCGACTTGCGCGTCCACATCTCCACGTGCAGTGCTGCATAAACATGGCTGAGTCAGCGATAACTCTCGAGGGGTGGAGGTATGCCCATTATTTTGAGTTCGTCCTAAGAATAGACAGGAATGTGACGGTGAGGTGCAAACTGTGTCCAGGCCAGAAGCTGTTATTCTACGGTGGCCCTGAAGTGCAAGACACCACAGCATTTCAGAAAACACTACAGCATTTCAGAAAACACCACAGCATTTCACAAAACACTACAACATTTCAGAAAACGCCGCAGTATTTCAGAAAACGCCACAGCATTTTACAAAACGCCACAGCATTTCACAAAACGCCACAGCATTTCACAAAACGCCACAGCATTTCAGAAAACACAACAGCATTTCAGAAAACACAACAGCATTTCAGAAAACACCACAGCATTTCAGAAAACACAACAGCATTTCAGAAAACACCACAGCATTTCACATTGGACGGAAAGGGTATTCCTTTAGGGAGAACACTTCTTGTTTGTGATTGGACAGAGCCAGCCAGAGAAGCACTGCTATGATTGGTTGTTTTTGCTGCCAGTCAAGAAATGACGCTTCGTGATTGGTCAACACCCGACAGCGAAATATGTCCCAACACATCAGCCGTTAGCACACAATCAGAGCTCACAGCTCCTCATATCTGTTCAGAAACTGGACACAAGTTAAACAAGTACAAACCACAGACTGTCTATGTCATGGTGAATACAGTCGCTGCTTTATTTATGTCTGTATGACGTTGTTGTGAGTGTGGACGGAGCAGCAACAGGTTAGTTTAGCCTGATTCCATTAAGAAAACACGCATTTTAAAAGCTTTTCACCTGCCGTCTTATCTGCAGACTTGTCAAAGCGTTAATTATTGGTTTTTACTAACCGTTGTCAGTATGTAGTTACTTCGGCATCACTTTGAAACGTGTATTACAATTAAATCACGGTCAAATATGTTCATTTTGTTGTAGTTGGTATCTCGCATAGGATTTACATGGAGATACGCCCCGCCCCCTCTCCAGCGCCTCTTGTTTGAATGACAGCAGCAAACACAGCTGACAGCCGCGGTGAAACTCGAGCGATTAGAGCGATGCGAATATTGGGTGGTCTACCATAGTATTTACGTGGAGATAAGCCCCTTAAAAACCATGAATTAATAAAGCATTCATTCTGTGTTTACTCCGGTCTTTCAAACAAGACGCTGGAGAGGGGGCGGGCCGTATCTCCATGTAAATCCTATCGGAATCGAATCGATCAGGCTAAACTAACCTGTAGCTGCTCCGTCCACACTCACAACAACGTCATACAGACATAAATAAAGCAGTGACTGTATTCGAAATGACATAGACAGTCTGTGTTTTGTATATGTTTAACTTTTGTCCAGTTTCTGAACAGATATGAGGAGCTGTGAGCTCTGAGTGTGTGCTAACAGCTAACGGCTGATGTGTTGGGCCAATCACGCAGCGTCATTTATTGACTGGCAGCAAAAACAACCAATCACAGCAGTGCTTCTATCGCTGGCTCTGTCCAATCACAAACAAGAAGTGTTCTCCCTAAGGAATACCCTTTCCGTCCAATGTGAAATGCTTTGGTGTTTTCTGAAATGCTGTGGTGTTTTGTGAAATGCTGCAGCGTTTTGTGAAATGCTGTTGTGTTTTGTGAAATGCTGCGGCGTTTTGTGAAATGCTGTTGTGTTTTGTGAAATGCGGTGGCGTTTTGTGAAATGCTGTTGTGTTTTGTGAAATGCTGCGGCGTTTTGTGAAATGCTGTGGCGTTTTGTGAAATGCCTTTGTGTTTTGTGAAATGCTGCGGCGTTTTGTGAAATGCTGTTGTGTTTTGTGAAATGCTGTGGTGTCTTGCACTTCAGGGCCACCGCAGTTATCCACTGCTGGAAACACCACGTCAAACCTCAACAAACACCTGCAAAGAACCCATGCTAAGGTGAAGCTACCGCACACGCTATTTGTTGTTTGTTTATATCACGTGGTCTGTTGTTCTTCTCTGTCTTCCAGTTGTTGCCTGTTTTGAATAACAAATACACACTACCGCCGCCTGCTGGTAAGGAAAGTTATTGCCACTCACGCATGCGCAGTTCGTACGTTCACATACATCTCACTAATTTGTAAGTCGGCATAATATTTACAATAGCACATGTTTCAATGCTGATTGCTGAAATGTTACATTTATAATTTGTAGTTCAGGACCATGGACAATGCAGCTTCCTTGCATTGACAGTTCTCTGTGCTGAATTTCTGCTGAGTTTCCTTTGCCTCATTTTTAATTTTGTGACCTGTCTGGTTTAAATGAGTGTGTTGCTGCTTTGATGAAGCCTAATTTGATAAAGTTTCAAATTAATTTCTGAAATATTTCGTTAATAAATATTTCATGAGTAATATAGTTGTCTGTCACATTTTATTTGGCATTAGTAAATAATTATGCACATTTACAGATATTTTACATGATATGAATGATAACACGTGTTATAAGGGCTATTTTGCACAATATGTGTGCCTTTTACTTGTCCTTTGGTGTGCCTTGGGCACAAAAAGTTTGGGAACCACTGATCTAGAGGACATGCACGCACGCAGAAACAACTTCCCCCCTTTCTTTAATAGAGTCTGTTGCGCAGGGTCACACAGGAGCGCATACAACAAAGGCATGAGGAAATAAGAAATGAACAAAAAGGAAATGCCTGAAAAGTAAAGTAATCTTGGGAGAATAAAGGATATGAACAGGCCACTGCTCGGCTTCTGAGAGAGGAGACAGAATCCGCAAAGCAAAAAGGTCAGAGGCCACCAGAGACGGAGAGTGAGGTATAAAGTATAATAACAAATCTTTGCATCAAAATAAATTGCAATACTGACGACCCCTGTAAGAAATCCAGAGGTTCACTTTGTAGTTCTGGAAGTAAACTTTGATGGAAAAACTTTACAGAAAGAATGTTGGAGGCAACTGAAGAAAGGTCAGTCTTAACGGCAAATGCAGGATGAGATCAGAGGATTTACTTTAACAGCATTTCTAAATGCAGAATGCATACGGAGTTAAAGCTAGTGTGTTTCACATCGACAAGTTAAGAGTTCATGGTATTTTAGTGCTGAAACAACTATAAAAGTGACTCAATCAACTTAAAAATGAAAACAAATGAATAATCACATAATTATCAAAACAATACCTAGCATCTCATATGTGAGGATTAGCTGCCTTTACGTTTTTGTTTTTTGGAAATGTAATGTCTGTGAGTTTAGGAAAGACTTCCGGGCAAAATAAGCAATTTTAACGATATTATCTTGACGGGTTTGTGAAAATGTGATGGCTTTTTTTGCATTTTTCTGGAATTCTTCAAACAAAATGAGTAGTCCATTATTGTAAATCCCACTCATCCACAACCTACACAGACCCACACTGCACTTATGGAGAGTTAAAAGCAAACACTGCATAGATTCCGCCCTCCACATTGTGCAAAATGCTTAAAACTTTTGAGTTATTTCTCGTTTTTTGTAAAATAAAAAGGTTGATTTCTGCTTGAAGCAATACAGAGATTATTCACAGAACAACACTATCAATGTGTTTCACTAATCCTGTGAGATTAAATCAACACATTTCTAATTGTTATTGACTGCTCTTTTACCCTTTCTGTAATTTAACATTGTTGTTAAATTGATGCGTGTTTGTCTTTTTTCTGAAAAACTGCATTTTCTTTTTGAGAGCTATTTCAGTCAGCTGAATGCGGAGATAGCAGCACGTTGAAGGTTCCTCCTTT